AAAAAAAAAAAAAAAAAAAAAAAAAATACTAATGTATCCTATTAGATAATTCCATTTTTAATAAATCTAATCTCTTTCGAACTTTTCTAGTTCTTGATAAAAAAAATTTTATTTTATATATATATACTCTCCTTTTCCAATAATTTATCATGATTTCATCTTGGTTGTAACAACCTCTCTAATATAAATGAATAAAAAAATATATAGTTAAAAAAAAAAAGTAAGTACTACATATTTATAAATAAACAATTCTTAAAAGATATATTAAAAAATATAAATAATAAATTAGTAATATATTTGAACATAACTTTTATTTATTTTCTTACATTTTTAATATATCTATACATAATTGAAATTATATTCTTCATATATCTTAAATGTTTTTTTTTTTTTTTTTTTCTTTTTAAACTATTACCTGAATAACTTTAGATGTATTTGAACAGTTGGGGCAAAACCAAAAGTTTTTTAATTTGGTCTCTTTGAAAATAGAATTAGGTGAAAAACAATAAGAATGCCAACCATTCGTACAACAAGCATAATCACACATAATTAATTCTCCTCCATTCATACATTTATAACATAAAACATCATGTTTATAAAAAGTTAAGTAGTAAATGTAGTCACATAAAATCTGAATAATTAAGTTTTTATCAATCGTACTATGATGTAAATCATAATTTATTTGTTTCATTATGTACTGCAAAACATAACTAAGAAAAAAAAGAAAACTTGCGGTACTTAATTTTATTTTATTATAATTATTTATATTTATAGTTTTTTCTTCTAATATTTTTTTAGTTATAGATATATGATTCAGTACATATTTTAAATAATTTTTTAAATAAATTATTCTTCTACTCTGAATATATAAATATTTTTTTTTATGGTACATAATTATTTCACTATTTGTATTTTCTTTTCCATTTTCTATTGAATCTCTCATATTTGTTTTTCCATTAAGTAGCTTATATTCTTCATCATTAAAATTCTCACTGTTGTTTTTACATATATTGTTTATATCATTATTATTTTCTTTAATATCATTGCTTTTTATATAGTTATTATCTATATCGTTACTTTTAATATTACAAATTGCATCTTTATTAAAGGTAAGGTTCAATTCTAAGTTTATATTATTATCTATTTCATTAATTGCCTTATTTATGGAATTAACAAAGATGTATTTATTAAATATATCAGTATCTTCATTATTTGCTACTGTTCCAGACAGTAAATTTTTTTTATCTTCATTAATTAATATGTCATTCTTATTTTCATTTAAAAAAGAGTGAAAATCTATATTTGTAGAATTAGTTAAATCATTCAATAGAAAAATTTTAGATTTTTCAGTATTAATAAATAATTCTCTCAGCATAAAAAACAAAAAGCGATAATACTTACTTATGATCGCTGATAAATAATTACCGAATAAAAATTTGGGTTTTACTAAATTAAATTTTTTTTTTATATTTACTAAATTTAATTCTATTGTATTATAATTATAAAAAATAGCATCGTTAATTTTTATTATATATTTGTCAATATACAAATCTAAATTACTATTAAATTTTTTAAAAAATATATTCTTCAAATTTTTCTTATTTTCATTTAAATCATCATTGTATGTGTCTAAGATGCAATTTCTATCATTATGAATATTATCGGCAGCTTTATAATTTTTTTTGATATGTTCATCGAAATATAAATCATTATTTATATGCTTTAAATTTATGCCAGCATATGTGTTTTCGAGAGTATATAAAGGTTTGCAACTTTCATTATTTGTAATATGTTCACTACCTAAAGAATATTCTTCTGATTGAATTAAATCGCTTTTGCAATTATTATTTCTATTATTAGGGGATTGATGTTCATTAGTATGAATGATTATATCTACATTTTTATTATATTCAGACTTGTTTATGTAATTATTATTGCAGTCATCATTAGCACTATTTACTGTTTTTTCCTTATAATTATTTAAAGGCTCATTAGAAAAATTATCATTTATATAACATATTTTATTATTTTTTTTTTTTTTCTCATTTTCATTTTTTTCTTGAGAATTTCTGCAAGAATTGTCTCTTTCTAAATAATCAAAAAAATTTTGAATTTTATTTAAAGAATGAATTAAAAATTTATATTCTTTTTTTATCACTGAAATAGGAATGTTAGATAAGCTTTCATCATCTGCAGAACTTTCATAATCTGTTATTGCTTCATCACTACCATCAGTTAAGTAAAAACCAAGTAAAGAATTCTGCATTTTTGGTAAAGGTATATTAGTAAATGGGCATGTATTATTAGGAAAAAAAAATACATCCGTATTATAATATTTTTCATCAAAACTTTTTAATTTTAATCCAATATGTGCTATATCTTCAGCTGCTCGTATACCTGTATCATAAGCGCCATCTACACATTGAAAATAACTTTTTGATATATATTCTCCACAGAAAACTACTTTTGGTTTATTAATAGGATGAGGAGATCTTAAATAGATTAAATCATTATCGTTACAATTAACATATGGATATGCATAAGAACCAAAAGAAAAATTATCATCTTGCCATTTTGTTACAATATAGTCAACTAATATAGGCAATCTTTTGCCACTTTTTTCAAACATTTTGTTTAATGTATATAAACATTCATTTACAATAAAATATTCCTTTTTTATATAACCATGTGTTGATGACCATGGAGGAAAACAATGAACTAAAACACAACCAACTTTTCCATATGCATGCAAATTAAGAAATTGAAATTTTTGATCTAAACAATTTAACTGTAAACTATCAAATGGCCATGTAAAACTATATGGATAAAATCTCAATATAATTTTATTATGATTACCCATTTTATAATGATTGAGAGCTTTTATTTTTAGCGGGTGTAGCTCTGGATCAAATTTTAAGCATGTTTTCCTACTGCTATTTTTATCATTATCTATTAATGAACCTAATGGTAAGGCTACTATAACATATTTTGCGTATATATTAATATTTAAATAATCGATATTTTTTAAATCATATATACCATGAAAACTTTTATTTCTGCTTTTTGATGCATTATCATAGCTCTTACATCTAACAAAAACATTATAATTACCCTTATTGTCACACGCTTTATAACAACTTTTATAATTTTGAATTTTTTTTGTATTTTCGTTAATTTTACAACTTTTATAAGAATCATTTTCTTTTTGAATACTTTCATCAATATTTATTTCATTTTGAATATTTGAATCAAAAATATTTTTTCTTTGAACATTTTTATCGTATTCATTATGTTTTTGAATATCTTTATTAAAAAGGTTTTTTTTATAATAATTAGTGTTATCTAAATCATCTTCTTTGTGATCAGTATTAATAAAATTATTATTATTATTATTATTATTATTATTATTATTATTATTATTATTATTATTATTATTATTATTATTATTATTATTATTATTATTATGAACAATATTATCTAAATGACTCCTTTCATTTTCATTATTATAGTAATAAATTAATTTATCTTTACTATTTTGTTCATCTTCATTTTTAATTTGAACAAGTTCAGCTACAGTATTAAGAAAAATTTTATTCTGTATATTTTCGGATAAATAATTAATTAACCATTTCCACCCATCAACAACAATTTTATCTGCACTACTATTATCTTTAAAGTAGCTAATATGAGGAGTTTGTTCATTTTTTTTAATTTTATCATAATATTTAAAATTTTTTAAAATATAATTATTGCTACCATAGTTTGGACATATATCAATATCCATATTATTAGAAAAAGGAATTCTAGACATGGCTATAGAAGTTTCTCTCAAATCACTACCATAGCCATATCTTGATTGTAACATAACCATTAGCATTTTCCATTCTTCAATAGTAAAATTGTTCTGATTTATATTCATTTCATTAAATATTTCTTCTGTGCATTCCATTAATAAATCCCACATACTTCTTCTTTTTTTATTATTATCATACAACTCAGTTTTATTAACATCTTTATTTTCGCACTTTTCATTTGTTGATTTTACAATCTTATAATAATCCTCCCCATAATTGTAATAATTATCATAAATAATTACATTTTCATCATAATTAGATATATTTAAACCAGTCTTCGTTATTTTTTTCTTTAAATTTAAATTTGAGTTAACGTCATTTGCAGAACTTTTTTTTCTTTTAGAGATGCTATTATTTCTTTCATTCATGCTTTCCATTTTAATTATATTAAATTTTTTCTTGTCATTGTGTTTTCTTTTATCTAAATTATCTGTGGAATTATTTTCATTATTATTATTTCTGTCATTATTTGAATTACATGTGTTATCCAAATCATCCATATATTTTATACCTTTTGTATCTCTTAAATTATCTTCATCTTTTATTTCCATTTCATAATTTGCAATATTTTTATTTTTTGTATTATCTTTTTTACGTATATTACTATCCTTATATTTATTTTTTGAATCTCCTTTGTAATTTTCACTATACTGGTTAAACTGAGTACTATCATCATCAATCAAATCATTAGTAACATATTTACTTTCTTTTTTATTTCTTATTGCATCTTCATAATTATTTTTTTCCAAATTTTCATCATTATCATACAAAACATCATTAATATATAAATAATTTCTAATTTTTCTTGCAGCTCTCACTCGAATTTTATCACATAATAAATTTACTCTATAAATCTTAAAACTTTTTATTTTTTTTCCATTTTCATTATTATACCAATAAGCATAAAACGTGGATTCCCAATTATCTTTACCACACACTAATGAAACTTTTGGCTTTAATTTTTCTGCTAATTGTGTTAAAGATTTATCAAATTCTCTTCTTTTTCTTGGATCTTTATTAACAGAAAGAATTTTAAATTTTTTATTTTGATTTCTAGATGCATAATTCAAAATAAAAGACGGAGAAGCATTCAGAGAACTGTCACTTAGGTTATTATAAAAGTAGATATTTTCATCTAAAGTTTTTAGAAAATTTAAAACATTTTTTTTTTCTTTTTTATAATACTTTTCATAATAATTACATATGTTATCAATATTATTTCTTATCATAAATAGCATATTACTTTTCAATTTTTTTTTTTTCATATTTTTAGTATTCTTTGTAATATTATAATCACAATCACTATAAGATTTTTCTTTTCTCTTAAAAAAATGAACATTTTCATTGTTGTTACTATTAATATATTTCCAAAAGGTTGAATTATGAAAATCTTTAAACAACTTTAAATATTCTTCTCTAAATAACTTAAAATTATCTGATAGTATTGTTTCTATTTCATTTATATTATATTGATGATTATTATTATTACTCATACTGTAATTTTTTTTTTTTTTTTTAATTTTCTTTTTCTTTTTTCCTTTTTTCTCATTCATATTTAATTTCTCTTCATTAGATATATATTCTTCAAATATTTCTTCTAATGTTTTTACATTTTTCGTACTATTCGTTTCTTTAGCTTTATTTTCATTTGATAAATCTGAGTTATCACAACAGTGTAGATAATTTGCACCCAAATCAACAATAGTTTCTGGTAATACTTTATTATTTATAATTCTCTCAGGTAAAATTGTAGAAAAGGCTCTTCCTCCTATTCTATTTCTACCTTCAATTAATAAAATTTTTGCACCACATTTATTTAAATAATAAGAAGCAGCTAAACCAGATACCCCTGCACCGATAATTAAAACATCGGTGTATAAATTTTCTTCATTTTCTAGAATTTGAAAAGCATCAATTCCTCTTTTTATTATATCTACTGGTTTTACATTTCCAAATAAAGATATTTTTTTTTTCTTTTCTTTTTTATGATTAAGATCATGTTTACAAAATACAATCTTCTTTGCCATTTTTTTGTCTATCACGTTATTAGGTATTTCTATTATGCTCTTCTTTTTTTCTCCGAAATTTAATAAATTATTAATTTCATTGGATTCATTGTCTTCATTTCTTAATTTTTTTCTTTTTAAATGAGAATTGTCTATTGATTCTAAAGAAATCAAATATTTTTTTCTTTTCACTTTATCATAAGTATTTGTTTTATTTAATTCCTCACTTGAATTTCTGTTTTCATTTTCTTTATTTATTTCATGTAAATGTTTACCATGTATAATATTATTTCTTCTACTACATTTTTGTATCACTTCTTTTTTCTTTTTTTTATTATTATTGGAAGTTTTAAATGGATTTTTCATTATCTCAATTTCTTTTTCTTTTATTGCATTATCATTTTTCTTTTTAGAAAGATCATGATTTTTTCTACTAATTTTTTTATGTTCAGATTTTATCTCTTTCAATTTATTTTTTTCTTCTTTCAATTTATTTTTTTCTTCTTTCAATTTATTTTTTTCCTTTTTCAATTTATTTTTTTCTTCTTTCAATTTATTTTTTTCTTCTTTAAATTTTTTCTTTTCTTCTTTTACTTTTTTCAAAAATTCTTCTTTTTGTCTTTTTTTTTCTTCTTTTATTATTTTTTTTTTTTCTTTTTCACTTTTTAATAACTCTTCTTTTTCTTTTTTATTTTTTTCTCTTTCTTTTTTCCTTTCTTCCTTTTCTCTAAGCTTTTTCTCTTCTTTTATTTTTTTTCTTTTTTCCTTTTCACATTTTAATAACTCTCTCTTTTTCATTATTATTTCTTCTTTTCTTTTTTTCTTTTTTTCTTTGTCCCATATTTTTTTGTCCTCTTTTTCTCTAAATTTTTTTTCTTCTTTTTCTTTTATTGATTCTCTGCTAATTAATTTTATTTTATTATCTTCCCCATCTATTAAATTTGCACCATTTAAATTACTTCCCTCTACATTTTTTTTAGCTATAACACTTCTTTCTTCTCCTGTATGCTTTCTACTTATTACATTTTGTCTATCTATTAAATTGATTTCATTAATTATATTCTCTTTATTTAAGCATTTATCGTCAGATATGAAATTATTTTTATTATTTATTTTTTCTGTATTTTTTACTTTTTTTAATTCACACTTATTTTTATTTTTACTTATTTTTTTTTTTTTTACATTAGTTATTTCTTCTCTATTTTTTGTTTCTTTTTCTTTTTTTTTTTCATGATTCTTTATATTTTTATTTTTTTGTAAAATATCAAACTTTAAATTGTCTAAATTATCTTTAGAATTTAATTTCTGTAAGTTAGATTCATTTTTACTTATTTTATTATCTGAAGCATTATCTCCTAAATCATTTGTATTAATTATATCATTTGTTATCTGTACACCTGAATTGTTCATATTATGATTTGAATAGTTCTTGTGTGTTTTATGATCTTTTTTATTTTTTAAATTATTTGAAAAATTATTATTAAAAAAAAAAAAATTCTTATACACAATATTTTTATATAATTCATAGTTATTTTTAAAATTATGTTTAATAAAATATTCATCAACTTCATAGTTATTTTTTAAGAAATCATTAATTTTTTCTTTTAAATATATGCTCCTTATTAAAATTTCAAAGATTTCATATTTTTTAGCTAGTAGTAAAATAACATTTTCATCCTTTTTCTTTTTAAAACAAAACTCATTTTTTAAAAATTTTGTTATTATATCAATATTTTCGATGAATTTTATTGATATATATAATTTATTATTATTTAGCTCTAAATGTAAATCGTATTTTTTTAATTTTTCAGAAAATATTTGAATTGCATATGACTTATTAGAAATTGTGCTTTTAAATATACATTCCTGTAATAGACTTTTTTTTTCGTATTTATTTAAATAAGAATAAAGTTTATCATATATTAGCATATTAGTTTCATCGTTTTTTAGTATTTTTCTTTTTTTTGTATTTTTTGTTATAACATTATTATTTTTATTTAATGCAATTATATTGTTAATATATATACTAGGTTCTTTTTTTTGTTCACTCATAATTTAAGTAAATTATTATTCAATAAAAAAAAAATCATTAAAATAATTATAAAAAAAAAAAAAATTAAAAATAATAAATTTATAATTTAAAGAAAAAAATAATAAAAATATACTAAAAAAGTAATATTTATTTTTTTTTGCAATTGAATATTCTTATTAAAGTAATATATAGATTTAAAAAGAGAAAACAAAAGTTTACTTTTTAAATACATTTTGATAATTTTACAATTTTACAATTATATTTATAGCTTTTAAAAATAGCATTCTTTAATAATTCTTAAAAAAATAAAAAAAAATAAAATTAGCTAAAATTAATAAGAATGAGAAAATAAAAACTAAAAATGCTAAAAAAGAAAAAATTTTTAAATAAAATGAATACTATTAAGAAAAAAAAACAAAAAATTGTATATATGATAAAAAAAGTAAAAATTCATGAAAATAAAAAAAAAAAAAAATAATAATAAAATATTAAAAAAAAATGAATACAAAAAAATTAACAAATGTAAACATATAGAAAAAAGAAATTATGTACATGATAAAAAAATAAAAATGATATAATTCTTATGTAGAGTTCTATTATAATTCCACTATACAAAAAAAAATTTAAATATTATTATATGCTTAGAAAGAACAACACAAAAAATTTTTTGTTATAATAAAAAAAAAAAAAAAAAAAGAACAAAATTATTATTTCTTCTTTATATTCAATAAAATAAAGACATTTATCTCCAAAATAAAAAATGTAAATTATTTTTCTTTAACATATATTTAATTTGTAGCTTTTTTTTTTTTTTTTTTTAAATATTTATAGCTCTTTTTAAATGGCATAATTATATGTTTTCAATCATTTTCATATATTTTTTTATATAAATTGGATGTTTTGTGTCTTATACTCCTTTTAAATTTTAAATAAAGTGAAAATTTAAAAAAAAAAAAAAATGATTTTAAAACATAGTTTTTTATATCCTTTACAAAATATCGTATTAAAAAATAAAAGTATTTTAATATTTATGAGATATAATGATTCAAGTAAAAATATTAGTGATACAAACTTAAAAAAAAAATTAAATACAAAGCTAGAAGATGTTAAAGTTACTAAAGAGAGTTCGTGTAACGCTTTATTTGATGAATGTTTAGAGGAATTATATAAAATGAAAAAAAAAATAGATAAAGAAAGTGTAGAATATGATAATTCCCCAGTAATAGAAGAATTAAATAGAGAAGAAATAAAAATAACAAAAAACATATTTGAAAGAATTAATAAAAAAAAAAAACATGTTTCCAATTTAAGTTATAAAGATATATATATAGATCCTTATTGGAATCCGTTTAAAGAGGTAAATGACTTAAAAAATGAAATTACTTATGAATTTAATGAATACTCTAAATTGGCAAGTATAGTAGAATTGAAAAAGCAAAAACGTGCAATTAAAAAGTCATTAAAAGAACAATATAAGTTATATAATCCATATTCAGAGGAGTATAATAATTATTTTAATTTAAACATTGACAAAGATGAGATCATATGTAATGATAAAAGTGAAAAATATTGGAATCCTTCTTTTGACAGAAGAAAGATTTTAAATATAAAAAGTCCATTTACGTGGAGACATACACATATTTTACATAATTTTATTGGAGAAAATGGTTTAATATTACCACGAAAATTTAATTTAACTACTAGAAAACAACAAATACAAATTTTTAAATCCATATGTATAGCTAGAAGAATGGCTATTTATCCATATGACAAAAAACCAAACAAAGATGATTTAATTCCCTTGATGGATCCTATACAGCTACTTGCTGATGAGTTAATTCATAGATACATTGAATTGAAAGATTTACGAGCACAAGCAATTATTAAAGTTATGATAAATAAATATCCTTCTTTAAATTATTATAAATATTTCTGTTATGAATCAAAAAAAAAGAAAAAAAATCAAGAAAAAGGAGAATTTTCCCAGATTTTACAAAAATATAAAAAAAATTATTATGAAAACTCATTTAACTACTAAAAAAATATTTTACCCTTTTTTTTTAGGAAAAAAAAAAAAAAATTATAAATTTCATATTCGTTTCAAGTTATTTATTTTTTTAGGAATTATTCTACAAAAAAAAAAAAAAAAAATTTTTTTAGTATGTTTTGTTTGCATATTTCATTTACTCTATTTAACTATTTTATTTGTTATTTTTATTTTTTTTTTTTTAAAACCTTATTCTGTTTATTTAATTTAATACCTTCTTTTTTTTTCATCTTTTGTTTTAGCTTATTTAAAAATCTAAAATATTTTATATAAAAACATAATTTTTTTATATTGTATTAAAAGATCATAATACAACCTTTTAAATTATTTATTTTATTGTTTACTTGAAGTTTTCTCTTAATAAGTTATTTTTTTAATTTAAATTAAAATATTGAAATAGTTAATAATTAATTTAAGTTATTTACCAACTCTACGTCTTTTTTAAAAATTATAGGTGATTTTTTTTTTTTTAAAAAAACAAATTCAAAAAAAGAAAAAAAAAAAAAAGGAATTATAAAAATATTTGAATATAGTATGTTCTTAAAATTTTATCATTTTTATTATTTGTTTAATTTTTATTGAAGTTAATAAAAATTCATAAAAAAGAAAAGTATGATTATACAATGTATTGTGAAATATATTTTAATAATAAAAAAAAATGTTAATAATATAAAAACATTTTATTTTAATACTGTGCAAAAGAAAAAAAAAAAAAAAAAAAAGATAAAAAACACATATAAATATATATGTATATATATAAAAATCCTTATATATATATAATTAATGTGTTTAAAAAAAAAAAAAAACTTATTTTAACATATACTAATAATTTATTTTTTCTAATTTTTTATTATTATTTAATATGTATTTCTACTTGTTTACAAATAAAACAACATACAATCATTTAAAAAAAAAAGGGGGAAAAATGTTAAGTAAAAAAAAAATTATAAAATATTATCATTTATTTATCTCAAAAGATTATAAAAAAAAAGGGGAAAAAATTATATATTAAATAAAATGGAAAAGGATAATCGAATATTTCGAAAAATAAAATTTTATAAAGCTTTAAATTATAAAAAATAAGAAATTAAAATGCATATATAAATATATAATAATAATAATAATAATAAATGCAATAATATATCCATAAAATATACATTACAAGAAATATTTCATAATTTTTTTTTCTTATTATCTTCTATTTCTTTTTAATTCATGCGCCGGTAATTGTCTAACGTTAATATTTCCTCTTCCATCTTCTTCTCTTTCAGTTACTGTTCTTTCAACTGTTCCATTAGGTAATGTTTTGACAGTTTCAATTCTAGTTACTCTCTTTCCATTAACAATTGATGTAGTTTTAGATGTAGATGTTTTTATAACTCTATTTTTATATTTTCCTCCGTTTGATGTTGATGTTTCTACTGATGTAAAACACGAACCGCCATCAACAAAGTCTAAAAAAAAAAAAAAGAAGATAAAATGTATTTAGCGAAAAAAATAATATACAGAAAACTTTTTATCTTCTTATAAAATTTTTAAATATTCTGTATTTTTTTAAAGTACATCTTTTTAAATAATTATTTCAAAATAATGTTTTTAATAAATATTTTTATTTTAAAAACATTCTTACTGTCAAATGATGATGAACCAAAGGAAATGTTAAATGATGAACCGAAAAAATTATCAAATGGATCAGCTGATCTATTCATTCTTCCTCTTCTTTTATCTCCAAATGATGAACTCATTACATCACTAAAAAATGAATCATTTCCAAAAGGAGTAGAATCTCCAAAAAACATTTCAAATATTCTTTGAGCATCATTAAATCCAAAATTTTTATGAAAATTTGAAAATTCATCATTTTCATCGGCCATATAATTTTCATCAGTTCCATAAACTGAAAAAAAAAAAAATTGTAAATAAAATGAAAAAAGTAACATCATAATTACAAATATTTCATAGTAAGACATTTAACATATACATATATTTGAAATAATTTATCACAATATTTAAACATAAGTTATGACAATATTAATATTTTAATGCATCTTAAGTTGTTAAATATAATAATTTTAATATTTTAGTATATATTTTTTAAATTATTCCATATGATCATTTTTCAAAGGAACATATATATATTTATATATTTTATTTTAATATGAAAATATCTATATTACGATCGTATTTTCTTCTTCTTTTTGGATCTGATAATACTTCATAAGCTTCTGAAATTTGTTTAAATCTTTCAGTTGCTTCTGCTTTATTATTTGGATTTTTATCTAAAAAGACAAAAAAAAAAATAAAAAACATTAATAATTTTTTATTCATTTATTATAAAAAATAAAAAAAAATTTCTTCTATTTATTTTTATATAATATTCTAATTATTTTTCTTTTTACATATATTTATTTAAAATCAAATTTAATTATAAGTTTTTGTAGAAAAAAAAAATAAATAATGTGACATAAATACATATATATATATATAAATATAATTATATATATATATATAAATATATATATATATGTATATATGTATATGTATATATTAATATTTTGTTTCAATATTGATAAGATAATATAAATAATTAATAAAAAAAAAAAAAAAAAAATTAGTATGAAATATATAAAAAAAAAAACATATTATTCTTTCTTTTTTTCTTTTTTCTTCTTTTTAAAAAAAATTTACCTGGATGCCATTTCATGGCCAAAGTTCTATATGACTTTTTGATTATGCTTATATCAGCATCTTGAGGAACTCCTAAAACTTCATAATAATTCACTCTTTTTGCCATTTTTATATTTTATTGGAAATTATTTTTTTTTTTTTTTTCTTAAAATTTCTTTTTAAGATCTTATTTTATTATATAGAAACAATTAACAAAAATATGTTAATTATTTTTGTTTTCTGCCAACTAAAATATAAAAATTAAAATCATTTCTAATTTTAATTATGCAAAAATATTTTTTGTATTTTATAAATGATTATTAACGCGTAAATTAATATTATTAGCTACGTTAAAAAAAAAAAAAATGAATATATATATTCATACTTATGCGCAGTTTTTTATTTTATTTTTTTTAATTTTTTTACATATATTTTATATTTTATTTTAGTAAAATAATATATTATTGTGTTGTTTGCATGCATATAAAGTTAAAAAAAAAAAAAAAAAATAAAATAAAAATAGGGAATTCATTAAAAATGTTAATATGTGTTATTAATGTTTATTAAATATGAAAAACTTTAAAATGAAAAAATTAAAAATTTTTTTTTTTTGTATTATTCTATAAATATGAGTTTGTAAATAATATTAAAATAAATATGTTTTTTTTTTAAAAAAATGAAAAAAGAAAATTTTTTGGTTGAACATTTTTCTATTCATTTCTTTGAAAAAGTAAAAAAAAATTAAACCTTAATCTCATAAAGTGAGAAATAATTTAATCTCATATATATAATGCTAATAAAACATATTCAAATAACATTTCTATTTATATAAAAAAATATGTATTATTCTTATATTTAAGGTCTAACAGGTTATCAATTTTTTTTTTTAAATGATGGCTTATTTCCATTTTATTGTATGTATAAATATATCCTTACAATTATACACATTCTTTGCTTTTATGATTGTGTAATTTAATTTTTATAGCTAGTAAAATATACACAATATCATGAGAAGTTAAAAGAGAAGAAATGATATTTTTTAAAAAAGTATATATTTAAAATAATATTAAAAAAAATGAAAGAATTTGTATTTAGAAATAATATTTTGCATATTTTTTTTAATAAATTAAAAATTAAGATAATACAAATTAATTTATTTTTATATTTTATAAAAGTTGCTTCAAAAAAACTTAATAGTTAGAAATAATAATTAAAATACAACTTTTATTTATATATCTATATATTAAATAATCTTAAAGTTCTAATTTTTTAAAATATGATTGAATCTATAAGATATAATAAATAAGATCCTTTTTTTCTCATATATGTATAGATATATATTTACTTTTTTTTTTTTTTTTTTTTCATAATTAATTAAGTTTTTATGCTTTTATTTACTTAAATTATATATGTTGTTTCATTTTATCCCATAAATTATTATTTTTAACCATAAGATAGATAAAATAATTAGCAATAGTCAAATTGTAGCATTTTTAAAATGTATTTTCAAAATTTTAATCTATATTATAAAAAAAAAAAACTTATTTTTTGTGTTTATTAAAAATAAGGAGATAAAGTAAAAGCCTCTTTAACTATATATAAAATTTTTATTCCTTGTCTACAATAACTTATAAATGATTAAATGAATATCATAAATAAATCATTATTTCTTCATAATTATTTTTTGGTGATGTACGCAATAAATGGCACTACTTTTTTTTTTTTTTTTTTTTTCTTTTTAATTTTATACATTATTTAAAAAAAATTGTAATTATCTAATAATGTTTTAATATATATAATAAATAAATTTTCATTATATGTTTCTTAACATTTCTATTTATAATTTATAATTTAAAATTTTAAAAATATTTGCCTGAATAGCTAGATTTTTAGTTTCATATTTTGTATAGTTGTATAAATTTAAAATTAAGCTAACAATAATTTTTCTTTTGGAAAATATAAAGATTCTTTTAAATAATTAATTAAAATAAAATATATTTAAATTGTTCAAAAATATATATATATATATATACATCTATAATGTATTTATGTAAAGATTTAAAAAAATTCTATTTAAAAAATTATAATAATAAAAATAAGAAAAACGTTGGTGAAACTTAAAATTCCTTTCAACTAATAATGAGTATCATGTTCAATTTCTAATATAATTTTTTTGTATCAAATAAAAATAAAAGTAATGTTTATTATATATACACATATATATATAAATATATATAATAAATCAATTTCAATCCATAAGAAATGTAAAAAAAGAATTGTTTTTAACATATATATAAAAATATATTACTTTTGTTTATAATAAAAAATATAATTATTTTTATCATATGAAGAATACAAATATATTTACTTATTAAACATTATATAACTATTTAATCTTATATATAATATAATCATTTATCTTAGATAAAAGTATGTTTAAATTATCTTTTTTTTTTTTTTTTTTTTTTTTTTTTTTTTTATATACAAAGTTACCTTTTTCCTTATGAAAAATTGTTTTAAAAACGATTTTCTAAGGCCGAAATGGATTTAATTGTAAACCTTTATTTTAATAATTCAGAATTAAATGGTATGATAGTTTTAATATGTTTCTTACAATTAAAAATAAGAGAATACAAGTATATTTATATAAATACATTTAAAACCTTTTGTTATTTTTTTATTCCTTTTATAGATGATGTAAAAACACTAATTTTGAGTTGGGCATCTTTTTTTAGGAAAAACTGGAATAATATGTTTAATATAGATAAAGAAGTAATTTTAAAATTAGAATTTTTTTTAGATAATAAAAAAGTATTAAGTAAAAATGCTCCACCAAATAATGAAGTATACATACATGAACTTAAAAAAAATCCTGATGTAGTTTTAAAATTTATGAAGGTTTCCTTACATTTGTTATTATTTAAATTTTTGGGGTTAGATAAAAACATATCACACTTAAAAGCACATAATGAAATAGACAAAAGAGATAAAAATAATAACAATAAAAATGTAAGTGATTTTATTAGAAAAGAGGAAATAAAAGATGCAGAAAATGATAACTTATTAATAAATGAGTTGAGATATGATAAATATAAAGACTCAGAAATTTTTAGAGCTTTTTTTTTTTCTAATAAAATAACTATATATTTATATAATTGGAATAAAGTTGATAAATTTGAAAGTTTAAAAAGTGAAAAAGTAAATCAGCTAATATGTTTAAGAGGAAGTGTTTTAAGAATATCACCAATCCAGTTATTGATTACTAATCTTAATTTTTTATGTGAAAAATGCAAACATATTATAAACTTAGAATTTACAGATGGCAAATATGAAACACCAAAAAAATGTATAAACAACTGTGATGGAAAAATTTTCGTTCCTATAAGAGAATCTGCAAAATCCATAGAATATCAGAAACTTATTTTAAAAGAAAATCGAAAAAATTTAAATAATATCTATGAAACCAATGATTCTAATATTAAAAATTTAACGGTTACATTAGAAATTTCAAAATTTTTTGTGAACTCTTGTATTCCAGGTAATTATGTAGAAGCTTTAGGAATACTTAAGGTTATTTCTTTTAATAATAATTATCTAATTAACGGAAAAAATTCTCTCTTTAATATTTATATCGATTGTTTATCTATATTTCCATTGTCATCAAAAAAATATCTAAATAATAACTATTTTAATATAGTAAAAATTAAGGAGACAAAAAATAAAATTCATTCTTCCTTTTTATGGGAATCTTATATAGATAAATTTAGCAAAAGAATGTTATATTTAAAGAATAAAATATCAAATAAAATAAAGCATAAAAAAGGAGATATTACAAAATATAGATCTAATGATAATCAAAAAAATATCAGGTATTCTTCAAGTAATACAGAAGATAATATAAAAAAAAAAAATAAAATAAGCAGTAGTCACGAATCAATTTCAGTGAATGATGTACTAAATTCAAATAAAAGTAGCTCATTAAGTTATAAAGGTAAATTAATTAATAGCAGAAATAAATTTGAAGAGACCTTATTGTGTAAAAATGACAATATAGAGAACAGATCTTCTTTTTATAATAACGAGATAAATATAGAAGAAAATTTACAAAAGAAAAAAGAGATAGAAAAAAAGGAAATAGGAAGCAATGATCTTTTGTATGATGAAATATTGAATTCTGATAATATATGTATGTATGGTGAATACATAAATGAAGAAAATTTTTTAAATGGAAATAGTAATATAAATAATAGTGACATGGAAAGCGATTGTTTTCATGTAAATGATAAAAATAATGATAATTTGAATTTAAGTAAAGAATTTGATGAAAAAATTTTAGAATTTATTCACGATATGCACAAAAATGAAAATAATAAATTTTATCTATTAATTGCATCCTTCTGTCCACGTATTATTATGAGTAATTATATAAAAGCAGGTTTGTTGCTAAGTTTATTAGGTGGAAAAACATTATATGATGAATGCAATCAAATTAAAAGAAGAGGAAATATACATAATTTATTAATTGGTGATCCTGGTTTAGGTAAAAGTAGAATTTTACAATATATTAGTAATATAATTGAAAAAAGTTTATTTATTTGTAGTACTTCAACAAGTATAAATGGATTGACAGCTTGTGCGGTGAAAGATACTTCTAATAATGAATACTCATTAGAAGGAGGAGCACTGGTTTTATCAGATAAAGGTGTTTGTTGTATTGATGAATTAGACAAAATTTCTTTAAATGATCAACAATCTTTTTTAGAATGCATGGAAAATCAGTCTATTAATATAACAAAAGCTGGTATTGTATGTAACTTAAAAACTAGATGTACCATTATTGCTGCATCTAATCCCAAAGAGGGAAAATATAACTATAAAAGAACAATATTTGATAACATAAAAATTCCCTTTCCTTTACTAAGTAGATTTGATTTAGTTTTTTTATTAGCTGATCAAATTTCTGAAGAAAAAGATCATCGTATTTCCAATTATTTAATAAATACTAATTATAGAAACAAAAATTCTGATGAAGACGATGATGATAATATGGATAATGATTCATTAATATTTTCTATGAAAGATTCTCTTAATCATAAATGCAAACAAGTTAATGAACAAAATTATTTACCATTAGAACTTATAGGAGTGTTTATAAAGTACAGTAGAAAATATATTTTCCCTATATTATCTATAGAAGCAAAAAAATACATTAGAAAATTCTACTTACATCTTAGAAATTTATCAGTAACTCACAATGATATTAGTATTCCTATTACTATCAGACAATTGGAATCATTAATTAGATTATGTCAAGCAAGAGCTAGGGCTGATTTATCAGGAATAGTAACATTAACTCATGCTAAAGAAGTAGTGGAAATATATCAAAAAACAATTTTTTATCCGTTACATATAAAATCGTTAAATTTTAAAGAAAAATCTACTAAAATAAGTAGAGGGAAATCAACTGCAGCCTTATCAAATGTGTTCAAAGAAAATATAATACAATTAGCTAAGCAAAAAAATAATAAAATTTTTAATAAGGTAATTAAAAAAAAAAAATTTTTTTATTGCAAAAGTTCTTTTTACATAAAATAAACCGACCTTGTAAATTTTGTAATAATGTTTATAAAATAATTTAATCACCAATTTCTAATGTTTTTTACATAATATATATGTATTTTATTTTATTTTATTCATTCTTATTTTATTTCATAATTTTTATTTATGCTTTCATATATACTATTTTTATTTTTTTTTTTTTAAATAGGAATTACATAATTTAGCCAAATCAATAATACTTTCATCCAATTCTAATATATCAGACGAAGCATTAATTAATTTTGGTAATACTTTGATAAATCCATTTTTATATATATTATTAACTTATTTTATTAATTCTTTCATTTAATTATTCCTTTTTATTAATCAAATTATTAATATTCTAAAGACAAATAAAAAGAATAAAAATATTAAATAATATATATATATACAACTTTTATAAAAATGTTTGTTATTTATTTAAATTAAATAGATGAAATTTTATACCATTTATAATTGTATGTTTACACTTTTTTTTTTTTTTTTTTTTTTTTTTATTTTTATACTTTAAACAAAATTTGATTTTGTTAATTTATTTTTTTGTTGCTTT